TGAAATGTAACACATTATATATTTATTATGAGTGTGTTTTTTTTTTTCCTTTTTTTTTTTAAGTGATAAATTGATGATATAAGAAATTTGAAATTAGGATTTCTAAAGATAAACTTCAAGATAATGTATTAGAATCTAGTAGAATCTAGTTTGGCTTTTTCTTGATTTTCAGTGATTTTAATAGGACTTGTCTTCAGTTGGTTTATTTATTCTGCTCCTTATTTCTTTGCTATTCGAGGTTATCAGGAATTTCATTTTGATAGTCTTTACTGGGTTTTTAGAAGGGAGTCTCTTGTGAAACTATGATATAGCTGACATTGTTCAAAGCATTAGTTGCTGTATGTGATGAAAAAGGATGAAAAACAGCTTAAAGTGTATACTTTCTTGTGCATATGTTTGAGGAGAATATTGCCACAAGAGAAAACTTAACAGAGTTTTATCTTAGTTTGAACTGAATATACAGAAGAGAAACTTATTTTTCCTGTTTTGACTGCCCTTACACAAAAGTATTCAAGAGACATTGACTTTTTTTTTTTTCCCCCCTGCTCACGTGTCACATGATGTTTTTCTGTTGAGGGTGAAATTAGGCAGATTTTCAGGGTATTTCATGTGATATTTCAGGAGTCTTGCCATCATGTACTCACTCTGAGGCTTTTTGGGGACATTTTTTGGGACTTGTTCTGAAGTTGTTAAGAACCCTTGTCAGAAGTGCTTCAGTCTATATCACAGAGGCTTCATCAAACACTTCCTCTTTCAGTTTTCATGGCGAGGGATTACTTCTGTCCCTTCGTTGGTCATTAACAATTTGCTTTTGGTAGTAGATATCTGAGTTGTACTTTATGGTATTTATTTGTGCATCTTTATTTCAAAAAGTATTTGGGAATTATGGGCTTCTGAGGAAAGCTCTTTGTCTTCATGCACCTTCATCTTGAGATAATAATTGATCATGGGAGTAAAGAGTAATTTTGGGAGTTGGGAATGTCTGGGAGATACTATAGATTATCTGTACTGTCTCCTCAGGGTATTCCTCCTCTCCTTTATTTTTTTCTATTAACATGATTTCTCTCTTTTTCATGCTTATTTATTCATTCATCTTTGACATCCATTTATATACACATACATATGCATATATACACATATATGCATGTGTTTTGTGTACACACACACACACGGAGTAGTCATCACTTAAACTGCAGCTTTAAGGAAACTGACGTATAAGGAAACCAATTTTACCCTAGGCTAATCGATATAAATAAGTGTTAAATTCCTGTGGCATATTTCTGGTCACAAAAATATCACCAAACTTTTAAATAAAGACTTAAAACACTTCTAATACTAAACATTGAAATAAATGTGAGCTATATATATACATTTAAGAAAGTTGAATAAAAACAAGTAAAATAATTATTTTTAACCTATTCATTTCCGTTCAGGGGCTCAGGTGACCAGAGTATCCTGGCAACTCAGGGCACAAGGCGGGACCCAACACTGGACAGGACAAAAACCCTTCCATCGCAGGGTGCACTCACATACTCACCCACCCAACTCAGACTGGGACAGCTTAGATATGCCAGTGAAACTTATGTGCACGGTTTTGGGAATGTGGGAGGAAACTGGAGTATCTATCATAAGTCTAACCTTCATTAAGTTGAGGACTGTCTGTACTAGCTTTCTTTTGATTTTCAGACTTCAGTGTTTGTGTGGTATCTTTCTCCATTGTTTTATCTTTTCCCATCTAGGTCTTTCATTTAGATGGCATTGAGTTTGATCTTACTTTTTTAGCTAAATTTAAATTTGTCTTTTAACTGGTGTTTTTAGACAATTCACATTTAAAGCAATAATTAACATAGTTAGATTAAACTTGGCATCTTGCTACCTGTTTTCTATTTATTGCATTTTTTTTCTTTTTTTCCTTCTGCCTCCTCTGGTGTGAATTGGGCTTTTTTTTTTTTTTTTTTCCCCTTTTTTTTTAAATCTATTGACTTAGTTATACTTTTTTCAAATGTTTTTTAGTGGTTGACTTTGGGTATTCATTTTTAAATAATCTGAGATTACCATCAAATGATACTATATCACTTCACATGTAGTGTATGTATCTTATTATAGTATGTTCCTAATTCTTCCTTTCACTGTCAATGTCATTATACATTTCACTACATATGTTATAAATACCCAATATATTGTTACTGATTTAAAGCCATCTTTCAGAGCAATTAAAAATATGAAAAAGGTTCTGTTTTACTTTTATTCTTCATTTCTTTGTGTTGATCCAAGCTTCTCACCTTTATCATATTCCTTCTGTCTAAAGGACTTGCTTTAATATTTTTTGTAGGGTGGGTTTGCTAGCACTGAATTCTCTGTTTCTGATTGGGAAAATCTTTTACTTAAGAAGGATATTTTCACTGGGTATAGAATATTTGTTGGGCAGTTTTTCTTTCAACATTTTAAAGTTGTCATTCAACCTTTTCCTTTAGAGTCGTTACCATATTAATCGTGTTTTAATTTCGTCTGAGAGTTCCAAAATCTGTCATATCCGAGTCTAGTTCTGATGATTGCTTTGTTTCTTCAGCTGTGTTTTTATTACTGCTTTTGGCTTTCTTCATAATTTTTGTCAAAAAGCTGACCATGTTGTATAGGACAGGAAATACTAAGGTAGATATTTGACATGCTTGGAGAAGACTGCAGGTTTCCTTTTCTCGTTCTTTAGGGTGGAATTTGTGTTAATCTGTTAGGGATTGGGCAGTGTTTGAAGTTTATTATTGCTATGGTTATCAGAGTTGACATTTGTAGTTGCCATGGAAACCAGAGACTTCAAATTTCTCTGATGTCTTATATCTCCCTGCTTGGCCTTTGGATTTTCTCTTGTGCTGTTTTTCAGAGTGAATCTGCCTCTTGCAGCTGTATTCCACTATTATTTTTGCTCATGTTAGCATGGTAATGGAGAGTGAGGGGAGTTCTCTGATGATCTGTTAAGCCTCAGATTTAGGCAGGTACTAGAACCTGGGTCTTGGAAGTGTAGCCTTCACCAGACTTTCCACTCCATTTCCATGGGTAGAGCATCAACCCTTCTTTTTCCCCAATTGCAGTGTCTAGGATAGGTTTTTTAAGCCCCCTTTTTTTCTTTTAGCTAAGGTTTTTAAAGCCTTTCCCCCTCTGCATTAAGATTAGTGTTACTTTAGAAAGATAGCGAAGATTATGTCAATCTTCCTTTCCTTCAGCTATTGTGGAATTCAACCAGCCTTCTTGGGGTACAGGCCTTGATTAATTTTTCCTTGCAGATTAAGCCTTGCAGATTTGTTCCATAGGGAGATAGGGGAAATAGGTCTGGGCCGATTGGCATTGGCTGCTGTTCCACTCTCCAAACTCTACAGGGGTGGGCGAGGGTAAGGATGGGGAGCTTTCTTTGTATTCTCTCAGATCCCCCCTGTTGAGGTTCCTGGAGGAAAAGCCTACAATAGAGTGGGAATTCTCTTATGATCGCAGCCCCCAAGGTCTTTACACTCTTGTATTAGCCCATTTTTAGACTTCAGCAGTTGTCAAAATTTGTGGTTTAATCTTTCTAACTGCAGCGGGGTTCATCCGTGCTCTTGCAACTGTATTTTCTGTTTATGCTTATGTGACCTTTTCTATACTTTCTATTGTTAACTGTCCTCTGTCTTCATATTTTAGGTGTGATTCTTGTAAGCACCATTATAGTGGAATCTTGTTTTTTATTTAGTGTAATGTTTTTTGTCTTTTGGTCTAGTTACATGTAATGTCATTACTGGAATATTTGAGTTTACATTTGACATCTTACATTTTGCTTTTTATATGTTCTCCTTGTTTGTGATCTTCTCTTATTTTGCGTTTATTAGAGTATTTTAATTCTTTTTTTTTCTTTCTATTAGCATAGTAGTTATATACTCTTGTACTATTTTTTTAAATGTTCACCCTAGAGATTAAAAAAGATTTTCTTTCTTTTTCAAAATATGCAAATTTATTTTTTCAACACATAATATAGTCAGAAGGTACAAAATTCAAAAGATACAAAAGGTTATATGGTAGAAAGTTCTATCTCACATCTGCCAGCCAGTCATCTGGCCTCTTTACTAGCCCCAGATATACTGTATTTACTGCTAGCTAAGCTGGAAGTCTTGGCTTATATCTATCTTCCTGCTTATTCATCTGTCTATTCTTTTCAAAGCTCAGTTAAAGCCTCTTCCTCCTTCATGAAAATTTCCCAGACAAACCTAATTCTAACTGATCTTCCTGATTTCTAATGGAAATTGCAGTTTTCTTCACACATTTTAGAACTTAATTATGTGATTTTGTGTTGTTTTCTTTAAGTTTCAAATGTGTAAATATTATTTTCTACCCTAGATTGTAAGTTCCTTGAGGGCATGGTAATATGCTTTACTTGGTCTATGTAATGCTGAGCACATAGCAGATGCTCACAAAATACTCATTTAGTTAAATTGTTTCTCTGGTAATGGCTGTCAGAAGCTAGTTTTCCAGGAAATTTTCAATTTTGCACGTGGATTCTCAATTGTACAGTGGTAGCTGTAGTGTTTAGAGTTGCTTTTGAGTGCAAAATTAGGTACAGAATTAGTACTTGAAAAAAAAATTGCTTATAAGATTGTGTTTTTATGTACTTGTTTTATGTTTTTTGTTACTTTAAGATTAGAATTAATGGAATATTCATTTCTAATTCCATATCATAGTGTAAAAATATTTTTTGCTACTTATGATATGTGCCACTTTCTTTTGTAAGTACTGACAAGTTAATATTTTTTCCAAAATATCTTCTTTCTTAGTTTTTCTTAATTACGTTTTCGAATTTGTAGAAAATACTGGAAAAAATTACCCTATTTCTACCAGAGAGATAAACATTAACATTTTGTGTACATACTTAGGTGTGTGTGTGTGTGTGTGTGTGTGTGTGTGTGTGTGTGTGTGTGTGTAGTAGATAAGTTCTCCCTTATAAGTTTCTCATTTTGTAATTCTTAATGTTTGCTTTTCAGCTTTTCCTAAAAGGATTCCTGTATATCTTAAAAGTGCTTGAGGAAGAGTAATAAAGGCAAGTATCCAGCTCTTTGTAGTGAGTGAAATAACTTAGTTCATAGCCAAACCAAAAAGCTTTGGTCACCATATCAAAAAAAAAAAATTGGAAAGAAAAACTTAAAGAAAAAGAATTCACATATAATTTGGAATTAGAGCACCCTCCTAAACATTTAACAGATTTTAGAAACATAATTTTTAAACTTATTTCTGATATTAATTCAGAACAACTTGTTTCTTGAATGTGAACTAATGGTGTATTATATCTTTGGCAAAACTGTTGTAGAAAAATTGTTAAAAATTCAGAGACTTTGACAAAGTTAACTGCAGTGCCTGATCTGTAGGTGGTTACCTTTTCCTCTTCTTTTCCAGCTTTTCACTCCTTCCCTTAGCCCCTTTCTGCCATACTTCTTTTCCT